TTCTGCGCCCTCCATTCCGCGCGGCGAACGAGCCCGCGCACGCGGGCGCCCACTCGCGCACTCGCGCCAGTTTCCGCGAGGAGCCCGCGACCCCGAGCCACAACCCCTGCGGCACAACTTCCGCGCGGCGGGTAAGCCCGCGCCTCGCGCCCCCCACCCGTGCACCCCACGCGCGCACCGACCCATCGTGCCCAGGCCCGTGCCCGACCAAGCCGAGACCCACGCCACATGCACCACACGCGAGCCACCTTGAGCCGCCACCGAGCCACATCGAGCCACCGGCCGAACCATTGAGCCCTAGCGCACCCGGTGACCGCCGACGATATTTTCCGGCCGCCGGTGAAATTTTCCGGCGACCGGCGATTTTTCCGGCCAAATTTTCCGGCGAACCTCCCGGGCCCCGTTTTCCGGCCGCCGTCGACATTTTCCGGCCGGAAACGGCATTTTCGACCTCCCGGGACCGTTTCGAGCCGTTGGAGCCACCGGAAACCTTATTTTGCGGCGATTCCACCTCCTCCACCCGTTTTTCATGGATATTTTCACTCTCTTGGAGCTTGGACATGACTCATTGCCCAATTTTTCTTACTCTTGGTGCCGAGATCATTGTTTTACAAGGTACTTCACTTAGACCTACTCGTGCCATATTATTTGAATTGGGCGTGATTTTATTGAGTTGGAGGTGATTTACACTAAGTGTGGGGGAGGTGTATCGGGGGTTCGTGAGCTTGTATTGAAGATTTGGAGGAGTGGCATGGTTGCCTTTCGGTCTTGAGGGTCGTGTGGAGATTTTGTTGATTATTTGAGAAATGTGGTGTTCGTGGCGAGTAGTTTTGAATTTTTATTATGTTATTGGGTATGCGGTTGTGTTCGCGGGTGTACATTGATTCAAGAAGGGTTTGAGGCCCGATTTTTTTAGCTTTCACGCATACGTGTGTCTTCGTCGAGTTTGTGAATTCCCGGTTATTATCCCTCCGAGACACATACATATGGCCTTTACTTGGAGCCGACGGATGGGATTCTCTTATGCTTTCACATGTCATAGTGCCTGGTTGGCGTAAGGTTCGATATTCTTTCATTGTTCAATATTCGGATGGCTTTATTTTTCATTTGAGGACTTTCGGATTATTGCTCTTTTCCCACCGGACGAACACCATTGGACACACGGTGGTGCATCACCGTGTAGAGCACGCATTTTCTTTTCCTTATTTTCTTGTTCTCTTAGTTGCTTCTTGTGTGTTTTTGTGTTTTTTTTTTTCTTTTTGTGTGTTCGTTTATCTTTATTCCATTTCATTTC